GGTTACAAGGATATTGTTCACAAGTCAAAATCAAGATGGATAATTCTCTAATCATTCACATAGAAATTATAACCACTCTCAACATCAATACTAATCAATGGATCCACTCATGTGACAAATCAGAACGTGTAAATACAAAACAAAAACACCTAATAGCAAAAGAGAAAAATAATGAGAGAGAGACATCACGATACCAGAGCTAGTTATGATTTTTACACTTCAAACGTGAAGAAACGGACGGAGGAAAACGAAAACATCGCTGAGAGGAAAATCAACCTCCGCTGCAACCTCCTCCGACAAACGGCCCAACCCACCAAGCCGGCGAAAGCAAGCGACTTCTCTAGACCTCGGAGAAACCGTCGTAGATCTCTGACGAGAAACATCTCCACCGCCATCGAGCAGAGCATACCACCACCGTCATCTCCCAAAAAACACCTCGAAAACGATGAAAACAACCCAGAAAACGATTGGGGTTCTTGATTTACCTTCGCCGCCAAAAAACATCTATATACAATATGTCTTTTTTTCAAAAATGTACTATTTGGTCAAAGATTTATATGTTATTATACCTAAACCGATTAAAAATTTTACAAAATAATCAAATGCTACTATTTAAACATAGTATATACTCAAACCGATTAAAAATTTTACAAAATAATCAAATGCTACTATTTAAATATAGTATTGACATGACGATAAAATATTATATATGTGATCTTTAAAAATAGTAAAATTAAAAAATTTTAATTTTTTTTATTTAACCAATAATTTTTTTTTTGATATTTAATTAAAAAACATAAAAAATTTGCTTTGAGATTAATAACAAATTTAAATTCGAAACCAAAAAATAGTTGAATATGAAATGATTAAAATCACACAAAATTTGCGAACTAAATTTATTTTTGTCAATTGGTTGTGTTAACTTTTAAATAATTTTACAATGATTATACCTCATCTCTTCTAATAAGAATGAAAAATAATTTTCATCATGTTCATTTTTATTCTTGTTAAATCTGTTTTTTCCAATAAATATATTATTTTTATTTATTTAATAATTTGTTTTATGATTATATTCAGTTTCATCATATTCATTGTCACTTTTTCTAATTATAATTAAATAGATAAAATTGGTATAATTTAATAAATATAAATTTAGAAAAACGAATAACAAACTGAATAACTCAAAACTAAGAACTTCTTCATTAATCTATTGTAATTCCAAGTCATATATAAAAATGTATTTTTTCAATCATTTTTACATAATATATTATATAATATTATGTGGAAATTTGTTTTGTATATGTGACAGAAATTTAAATGTATATAAATCATAAATATTATTTATTTAAAATTTTACTTGAAAATCATTTAAATCAAGTAACTTAAACTTGTATAAGTAGTATATTTTTTTATATATGAAAATAAATTTGTAACTAAAACAGTGATAATGAAGATTTTAATATCATAGTGGTTTATTTTTGTTGTTAATGGAGTTTTTTTTTTAACCATAATATAAGGATTTGGAATTTTTTTTTAGTTTTTAAATGTTGATGTGTATGCCTTAAAAATAATATGGCTAAACTGTTATTAATAATAGAATAGTTTAAATTACAAATTTTCCTATATTTTTTTGTATTACCAATGTAATTTTATAATTTAAAAATTTTTTAAATTTTAATTATTGATGTGGACTAAAAACATTGACCTTTTAAATCTTATGTGGATGTCTTTGGAGGCATATAGTTTCAGCTTTTATTTTTCTATAAATATTTTTTTTGTTAACAATACAGTTTTAAAATTTGAAAATTTTCTTAATTTTAAATATTGACATGAACCAATAGAATTGAAAATTTAATTCCTATGTGGACACTTTTAGAGGCATATAGCTTCAGGTTTTATTTGTAATATATTTAGATATTAACGCTGGAAGATCCTACACAAGGCCCGTTGCGGCAAGTGATTTTGGTTTCTCCTCCATATTTTGAGGCTTACGGAATGTATTCTGATACTGTTTGGTTCAGCTAATTGTTACCTTTGTGGTTCATGTTGTATTGCTAAACCCTTGTCAGATGTCATGTTATTCCAAAGATTTTTCTCGGATAGCTTAGTCTTTTTTGCCTTAATGCAGAACCTCTTTCTCTATTTTTAGTAGTTCGTTTTTCAAAATTTTTGGGTATCAATCACTTGACATGTTTCTCGAATTACTTGAAATTTATCATTCTTTTCAAATCTGGTGGCAAAACTTTAGAGATTTTACGGTTTCTTTTTTAATATTAAAGCAGCTTGTAGTGGCTTTGTTTTCATCATATTCTTTTTAATTTAGCTAATAGTTAAACATATAGTTTAGTCAAGTTGGTTCTTAATTTTACATTGTAATGATTCATTTTTGAGTGAAACCTAACTCTATTTTTTTGCTTCTTTTAGTTGAAATGGTTGTACACACATTAAAAAAACTTAAAATTTATTATAGTTATGTGACCAAAATTTGGATGCTAATGTAGGAGTTTCTAAATATTTGTGTATACATATGTAAATAAATTTTAATATTTTATTTGTTCTTAGTTATTTATATAATTGAAACATCTAATTTAAATTTCAATTTTCATATTTTAAAATTATTTATTTTATTTTATTATTAATAATATAAATTGTATATATAATTTATTCATCTTTAATAATTTTTAAAACAATAATAAAATTTAGAAACTTTTTTATTTTTAATGTTGAGGTGGACCAATAAAAAATTTATACAAATTTTTTTTATTCAACAATAATATTAGAATTTGTAAATTTTCTTAATTTCCTTATTTAACACTAATATTAAATTTTTGAGATTTTTTTAATATTAAATGATGATGTGGACCAATAAAAAAGTTAATTTCCTTATTTAACAATAATATTAAATTTGGAAATTTTCTTAATTTTGAATGATAATATGGACCAATAGAATTGCTCTTTTTAATCCTATGTGGATGTGGACACCTTTAAAAGCATTTAGGTTCAACTTTTATCAGTATATATATAAGATAAGATAAGATAAGATGTATTAAATAGATTTATATACACAACTAATGAATAAACTTGTAGAATATTAAAATGACTAGAACAATTAAATGATTGTAAGCATATAGCCCTATTTATATTTGATTTTCCATATCTAAATTATATTATGTATATACACTGTCGTACTTACGTATATTTATTAAAACATTTTGTAGCTTTTAAAATCAAGTGTACGTACTAGTTTATTTTAATTTATTTTTAAAAATCAAGATATAATTCTGTGAATCTCAAAATTATAACAAATAAATATATTAGAAAATCTAAACTTTGACGATTTCAAAAATATTTGAATAGAATATACGTAAACAATACAAAATATTTTAACCAAAAAATTAATAATGGAATCTTCTTATCACATTTGGAAATCACAATTTCACATATTTGTTTTTAAATATATTTATTTCGTCCTTCGGTCCTTCCCACATTATCCCATTCATTCCTCATCTTTTTCTTTTTTTTTTCTTTTTTTTACGCCTGTAATAATATTGTTAATGTAGAAATTGTACAAAGTCAGAATGTAACTCATTTGTAATGATATGTGGTACCTAGAAGTGAAATACGTAGTTTAGCAGTGGAGGAAGATAGTTTTTAGCCTCATCTATCTTAGTATTTTGGTTCTGAATAACTTTTAACGTGATTCACAATATTTCCCATTTGTCCCACAGGTATATTTGTGAAATTAAAAACTATTTTTTTTTTCAGTATAATTGGTAAATTTTGAGTGAGATTCACATGAATGACTAATCCTACACAATTTTATCCTTAAAAATAGCATTGATCCAGTGACAAGCCAAAAAAAAATAAAAAATAATCTGTAATTGTGTTAGAGATTTAGATTTTTGTTACGTAATTCGTGGATTTTTGGTAGTTATCCTTAACATATCTCCCCTATTTTTGAAACAGATCTTGTTTGATAAACTAATTTATAGTTTGAATGCGTCTATCTACTGATAAATTTATTTTAAATTATTTTAAATTTTAAATAATCAAATTGCAATTTTTTACAATTTTATTAATAAATTTTATATATAAAAGAAGGCCAAATCTTTTCATATGAATGACATGTTATCATTTTCGATCTTTAAGAAGATGAAACGTATCACATTTTAATATTAAATTTTAGATCATTTAAAAAATGATTAAATTTAAATATTAAATTTAAATAAATCATTAAATAATTAATAATTTTAAATTTTAAATTTTAAATTATTAAAAAAATAAATTTTTTTACTGACTCTTATTCTTAAATGACATTTATATAAATATTAAAGATAAATTTATGCTATAATTAATTAATAATATTGATGAATATTTATTTTATTTTTATATATTTGATTATTTAATAATATTCAATATATATTCTAAATTAATTTGTAAGATTGTTTATAAATACTAACACTTACTAATAATAATTTGCGGATATTTAAATATAAAAATATATAAAATTGAAATAATTAAAAAGAAAAACGCACATTTTGCGGATATTCATCTAGTTATATATAAAATAGTAATTTCATGATCAGTTTGTAATTTCATATTATTAGTTTTCTTTTACCATCGATTTCATATTAAGTTTTTACGAAACGTTTGACATTAAATACATATATTTCAAGAGAATATTCGCCTCATTATTCTAACAAAATATCAATTAACGAACAGAGTAAAATCAAATCCTTGCGAGATTGTTGAGTTTGACCACAACCAACAAAGATAACAAACTAATCACCAATTCAAGAAATAATCTCTAACCTCCCGGAAACCAAGGAATGATAATCGGACTTCAAACCCTAAAAAAAAAACAAACACAAACCCTTATCCGTTTCATTTGCGAGCTTCACTTCTATATATAAACCTCGTCTTCTCTTATCCCATATAAACTCTTAACAAAAAGAAAACAATAAACACTACGCACTTCAAAGATAAATAATATAGCAATAATGACGCAATCTGTTCTTCTTTCCGTCTTTATACTACTACTATCATCATCATCATCATTCGTTGCACCCATCCACGCCCGCAAATCAAATCCAGCAAAGTCTCCCTCGGTGGTAGCAACTCCGGCTCCAGGACCGTCAAATTCTGATTGCTCGACCGTAATATACGACATGATGGATTGTCTATCGTACCTTACCCCAGGATCAAATGACACTATGCCAGGGAAAGCGTGTTGTGACGGAATCGAATCTGTTTTAAAATACAACCCTAAGTGTATTTGCGTCGGCTTACAGAGTAGTCAAAGTATGGGAATGGCATTGAATAACACTAGAGCTCTTGCTGTGCCTAAGACTTGCAAGATCCCTATTGCTGCTCCCCATTGCGGTGATTGTCATTATTTTTATTTTATTTTGTCTCATTACTAAGGTTTTTTGCATAATGTTTTCATGTTTCTAAAGTTAATTTTTTCTTGCAGGTATAATTCCAGGCGCATCGACACCGGGTGCATCTACTCCTGGTGTGTCTCCGGGTACGTGTTGAGTATGTTCAGTAATTAAGATTGAAGGCTGTTTTTGTTTCTTTATCAAAAAAAAAAAAAAAAAAGGCTGTTTTTGTTTTTTTTTGTTTTTTGCCTTACGGATTGATAAAAAATAGTGTGCCATATTTCCTTTTTTTTGTACATCAAATTGTGTGACAGCTTACGATTCATCTTTTTTTAGTTTGTTTACTATAGATTTTCTCGATAATCAGATCTATTTCACATTTCATTGAGGATTACTAGAATTATAAATAAAGTACGTGCCATAACTTTAAAAAAAAAACTACACATTTCATATGTTTTTTTTCTTTTTTTCTCAAGTCCATTAACGCATTTACTTCGAATTTTAAAATTTAATTAGTGTCGAGAACAAAAAAAAACTTAATGTTGAGAAAACAAAAACTGATTTTCTTGTGTTTTTCTTTTTCTTTTTATGGATTGATTGAAAAGGAAATTCACATTTTAGGTAGTATGGTACTTCATGTACGTTTCATTTTGTTAGTTTAGATATTAGATTTTTCGGCAAATCCAGTCAATCATTTAATCTTTTATAAGATTTCCATATGCCAGAGTTTTCATTGTCTTACTCGCATTGCAGTTAATTGTATTAATTAGTTTAGTCATACAATATTGCATGCTTTCATTATTTGTTGTTAATATATCTTTTTGTATGAATGATAATATGGATGCAGTTTCTCCATCGGCTGGAACACCTATGACTTCACCATCTTCAGCTGAGTCACCGACAACTTCTCCATCTTTGGCTGAGTCACCAGCAATGACTGCACCGTCTCCCTCGAGTTCTGGCACCACCAACCTCTCAGTTTCTACACTGACCCGCGTTGCCGTTATTATTTCTTCTATGAGTTACATTTCGGCTTTTTCTAATTAAGTTCAATTGTTCGCATTTTCGTTTATTTCTACGGAAATTGAATTTGTGATTTGAAGACCAATGCTGCTTTACTTTAACGTTTTTTCGTTAATCAGATTAGTTTTTCTTTTCTTTTCAATCATCCACCATCGTATTTGTTTATTTTAGTTTGTGTGTCGTTTTTCCTTCTTATCAACTCCAGAGTATTAATTAATAGATAGACGCTAAAATCTATATATATATATATATATATATATATAAAGTTGAAAATCATTCAAACCAACTTTGAGTTAGTAATTTAAATTTATCACTTTATTTATAGAGTTAAAAAACTATAGATTTTATTGTTTGTAAATTATAGTTTAAACCATTTCTAAATAAAATCAAACAAATACTGCATCTTCAAACAATCAATAAGGATTAATTATAAATAAAATATATAGAAGAGTTTTAAATCAATTTCTTAAAACATACATAACTTGAATAAAACAAAGTTACTAATTTATCATTGTTTAGGTTAAACTTTTGGAATCTGTTAGTTAATTATACACGCATAAGTTTCCTAAAACTCGAATGACAACTCAAAGTCTTTGATGGATATGCAATGATAATTTCATTGCCGTATCCCAAAATTATGATATTTTCAAGCCAATAATAATTGAGAGGATGAAGGTCGGGGTTTTTATGAAAATTCTCTAACATTCAAAACTGAAAAAAATATTGAAACTCAAAAAAGTAAAACGAAAAAAATATAATGAATATTATATTTAAACCACATCAAAATATGGTATGTGGTTCAATTTGTCGCGTTGGTTAGTACGTCAAAGAGAGAGGAAGCGAGAGAGAGGGAGAGAGAGAGAGAGAAAGAGAGAGAGAGAGAGAGAGTAGACGCATGAGTTTTATAAAACTTGAATGACAACTTAAAGTCTTTGATGGGTGTGCAATAATAGTGTCCAAAAATGATAATATTTCCAGCCAATAATTGAAAGGATAAATGGTTGAAGTCTTTACAAAAAATCTCCAACATTCAAATCAGAAAAGAGAAATTGAAACTCTAAAAAGTAAAACGAGAAAAATCTAGTGAATATATTATATTTAAATCAAATTAAAATATGGTATGTGGTTCAATTTTTAGCATTGGGAAAGTGTGCATGAAAGAGAGAAGATAGATAGGTTATGAATGCATTGTGGAAATAGAAGAGATTAATGTCAAATGAATGGACATTTGATTTATTAATGAAAAGATTAAAGTAGATGTTTGAACTCTTAGAACTTTACTTTCTTTTTCTATTATGTAAAAGGGAAAATTGCTAAAAAATACCTCATTTATTTAATTTTTGGAAGAATCACACACGAACTTTTAGAGTAGCCAGAAACCCACACAAACTATTTTTTTCGATACATAAAAATACATAAGTTTTTTTAAAATTCCATTTTCCCCCTCTGATATCACGACCGTTAACGGACATAACGAAATCAATAAATAGCGTTAATTTTTTGTAGGAAAAAATGCTAAGAAATACCTCAACTTTTAAAAGATTTAACTGATATATAGATATGTAGACCAAATTTGGTGGTTGATTTTAATCTCGCTTTGTTATGAGCATTATATATCAAAATTTAGAATGTTTTGGTAGCTGTGACTTAACACGATAACTCTAACAAAGTTAAATAGTTTTTATGCGCGTCTCATTTATTTTATTACTATATAAAAACTATAAGATAACATACTGCACGAACCAAGGGTAATCAACTAGTATTAAAAGAAAAGTAACATGTGTTATGAGAAAAATTATATCGCACAGACAAAAATAAAACTATCTCCACCAATAAAATCTATCAGAATTAAGAATATAATACTATGTATTGTTTAAATTTTGTAATGCTAATTCAGAAATGAAGGTACCTGAAAATGCAGATATATAAATGTTTGACATCCACTAAAAAATTGTCCAAAATATCAGAAACTGTTGTGGAAAAACAAACACACAACAACACAGCGGAATACAGTTCTTTAGAAGCAATAGCGGAAAGTAAATGAGACAACAATTTTTTACGTGAAAAACCTTTTCGATGCGAGTAGTAATAATCATGGGACCGTAGTCCACTCAAAATTCATTATCATTAATAAATATGAGTTACAACCACATCCTCCAGAAACTAAGGCTCCAAAGAGCAATCTCCAATACAAGAAAAAACACCACAAGAAAAGCAATATAAAAGCTTAGAAATAAGCAGACCCAAATGACTCTAAGTTTACTAGGATTCCGATCACCAAATCAAATCTACACCGTACAAACCCTAGATAAACGAGTCAACAACACTTCTACAAAAATTCAGCTTAAACTGAGAAGAACATACCCTCAAATTTTCAAACATTCTGATGTGGGTGCAATGGGCAACAGAAGTTTTACCCTAGACAAGCTGCAAGTGCACAGCAAACGAAGTAGTACTTAGGGATCAAATCCACAGGGATTTGTGTGTTGAAGACTTCTAACTGATGCTAAAAACAATCGTAGACCTAATCTAATAAAAAGGGGTTTTGGTTTGTCACTAAATCTAATTAAGCAGAGAATTAAAGCTGGGAATAAATATCGGTTGAAAACAATAAGAAAAACAGCGCTGGGTTCAAGGTTCATCTTTAGGGTTCATGTTCTAAAACACTAGGAATTTAGGCAAGGTTTTCTATGACTCTGAAACTAGGATAGACACTTGTAAGATTAGCCAACTCTCGTCACCATAATCATCTAATCACTCATTCATGGCAATTAACTCTCGCTCTCATTCCAGAACAAGATCATGCATTGCAGATCGGAATCCATCTCGGCTTACGTATCCTGCGTAGGTAGCTTTCATCTCCTATAACGGTGACGTCCATAAGATCCAGTTCAGACAACCCAGATACGACACTCTCGTGGCTCGGACTTAACCTAGGATCGGGCTCTAGGTTATCAATCTAGAGTTACCGATTTTAGATTTGGATGAATGGGAGAATAATGTAAAAATCGAAATCCTTTTTCCTAAAAACCTAGATGTCATTCGAACATGGGATTCCTTAGGATTTTCCTTTCACCCAACTAGGTGACTACTTAGACATGGCTGAGATAGACATCATCATTGGTTTAGAACTTAGAAAGAAGAAAAGTAAAGAAACAAAAGTTGCAGAAAAACTTCTCTTATTAAAGACAGTGTGGCGATGAAAATTTTTTACAGATGCATAAAAATAAAACCTAAACTACAAATGAGTTCTCTTTCAAAGAAGAGAAAGAAGCTCTCTTACAAAAGACCTAAAAAGGAGTAATTTATAGTGTTTCTCCAAGTCTGGGCGTCTAGGGCTTGTAAAATGATTGCAGGAAGTGTCTTGGGACTTTGATGGGCTCCTGAGGTTCGGACATAAGTCCACTGGGGGTGAAACCTCTTGAGCCACGGTGGGAACAAGTCTGACCACGGGTGAAAGCTTCTGTCTTTGACTGGACTTGTGTTGATCGGCCTTCAGTGCATTGATGATATCTGGAGATCTAACCGTTGGATTGCTTTGATTCCAAGTGTGTTGAAAAGCTGGTTGTCTCCTCTATAATGTATCCAAATTTAGGGATGATCAGACGGTTAGAAGATCTTCTTTAGTTGCCAAACTTCTGACATCCTGAATTTATCCAAAAATGTACTTTTGCTCTAAAATGCACTCCAAAACTTCAAGTTTATTGAAAAGCCTTTTAAAACTCCCAAACAGGGATATCACTTATAAAACCTTTAAAAGTGAGTGAAAAAACCTACATAAGATATAGAAAGTGATCCATAAAAGTGGTCAAAATCAGGTGTTATCACACTCAAGACAGCACCTGCTGATATCTGAACTCGCCACAGATGTGAACAGTCACGCTAAAGCCCAGAAATCTCTCACACCAACCATTGGCACAAAAATGACTCGGTGAATCTAAAGAACACTGATTCAACATTTCAGCCAGATCGGAGCACTGAAAAACCTCCAAACATTGCCTTGAACAATCCCTGAAATGCATTCAAGTGATCTGTCATCAAAGTTCCAGCTTCATACCTCAAATCAATCAACTTCTTGATCATGTACATCTATTATTTCCGGTATTCCGAGTATATAATTGCTCCAGCTTGATAACACCTGATTTTGACCACTTTTATGGATCACTTTCAATATCTTATGCAGGTGTTTTTACTCAGTTTTAAAAGTTTTATAAGTATTTTCCATGTTTTGGAGTTTTAAAATGCTTTTCAGGAAACTTGAGACTTTGGAGTGTATTTTGGAGCAAAAGTACATTTTTGGATAAATTCAGGCCGTCAGAAGTTTGGCAACCAAAGAAGACCTTCTCACCGTCCGATCATCGCCAAATTTATAGAAATTATAGAGGAGACAACTAACTTTCCAACACACTTGAAATCAAAGCAATCCAACGGTTAGATCTCAAGATATCATCAATGCACTGAAGACCGATCAACATAAGCCCAATCAAGCACAAATGCTTTCACCCACGGCCAGCCTTCTTCCCACCGCGGCTCAGGAGGTTTCACCCCCGGTGGACCCTATGTCCAAACCTCAGGAGCCCAACTAAGGCCCAAGACACTTCCTGCACCCATTTTACAAGCCCTAGACGCCCAAGACTTGGAGAAACACTATAAATACTCATTTTAGGTCTTTTGTAAGAAGCCTCTTTCTTCTCTTTGAGAGAGAACTCATTTGTAGTTTTAGTTTTACTTTTATGCATTTGTAGAAGCTTTCCATCGCCATTCTGTCTTCAATAAGAGAGTTTTCTGCAACTTTGTTCTTTACTTTTCCTCTCTAAGTTCTAAACGGATGATGATGTCTACCTCAGCCATGTCTGAGTAGTCACCTAGTTGGGTGAAAGGGTATCCAAAGG